GGGTGTGTTATTCACTCAATAATAAGATTCAGAGCAGAATACGACGCGTTTCGAACCTTGCTTAAGGGTTCAATCATCAGGTATCTTAAGAATCTTATTTAGACTACATCAAAAAACAAAAGAAGATCATCAAGTAAAACCTAGAATTCCAATATAATAACAAATCAATTTCAATAAAGGAATTTTCAAAAAAGAAAATCGCCAAAAAGAAACCATAATCATTACTATATTCGAAAGGAATATACTTAACATAAAAGACCAACTTTATTTGTTCGTATCGTAGTAAATAATATTAATGGGTGTGTTATTCACTCAATAATAAGATTCAGAGCAGAATACGACGCGTTTCGAACCTTGCTTAAGGGTTCAATCATCAGGTATCTTAAGAATCTTATTTAGACTACATCAAAAAACAAAATAGCTGATTATTAAGTAAAACCTAGAATTCAAAATACAAATTAGTTTGATTTCATACTAAGTTTTTCTAGTAGTTTTATTTATTTTTTCAAAGAACAGAGAAAGATATACTAATGAAAAGACAAGAACTATAATTTTTGGAAAGAGTTCATCTTGAATTGAATGATTTGATCAGTACGTTGTTGTATATTGATGAGACGTGCTTCGATAATGGATCGTGTATGACAAGTTGTGAAGTCTAAAATAGATTATTGATTTATTGACAAATTTATATAAAAAAAAAATTTTCTATCTTACCTGGATTGACATCAGTATTTGATTCATTTGGAAGCGATGAATTGTCATCGCATTGTTGGATGGATCGTTTGCAAGCCTTTACTTTACTTCGCCAAAGTTTTTGAACATGGATTAGCTAGAATAGTTTATAAAATAGATGTTTAATTATCTAAAAAAGAAAAGCTTACTTGTTCTTCAGTTGGATTTAAATCATAGAATGATTTAACAAGATGAAGATCATTGTGGTCAAATCCAAATATAATTTTTTGTTCTTCATACATGGTGCGTAATCGCTGCTGACCTTGATGTACAAGTTCTTTTATTGCTGTCGTCAATAGATTTAAGGGGTCAATCGATTTACTTATTGAAGGTCGAACAATCAATGACTCTTCTTTTAATTGTATCATGAGTTGATGTTGGGCTTGCTTTAATTTATTTTGAATAATTGTTTGACGTTTGTTTAAATTTTCTATCGTTCGTGGATAAGCCCAATTGATAGAATTTATTTTCGTTGTATCTTTAGGCATGTTTGACAACCATATGATTTCGATTGGAACTGAATCAGTAATTGTTTCCCAATAATCTTGTTCAATTTCGAGAAGTAATATGTTGTTGAGCAATTCAGCGTATCGACGAAAACGTTGTAATTGGTTTGTATGTATTAGCCAATGTTTTATTTTATTCTGATGACTAGCCAAATTCGTACATAATAAATCCACGAAGAGACGACTAGACATTTTCGAATAGTTTGGTATAAGTTGTCGTGAAGTTTTCCATTTATCAATGGGTATAGAACTTTTGTTTTTTGTAGTGTTCATTGTGAGATTTGGTTTTTGATGATAAGTTTGTTTTCGACTTGAAGGTGTTAATGGAATAGAATTGGTGTTAATATGGCCCACCAAACTAGTTTCATTATGTTCATGCATCTGTCGAGCATTCTAAATTGAAAATAAAAATATAAGACGCTATAGAATTAATAATAATTTAAGTTATTCTACCTGATTATGGTTCGATAATGGTAATTCAACCTTGCTATTAGATTTACTAACAGAAAAAACGTTCATTTCGTCGTCTTTCTCTTCTGTGCCTCTAGTACGACACTTTCGTCGAAAACGTTGCAGTTTACGATTCCCATGACATTTTTTCTTCTTCTGGTGTGGTTGATGATGTTGTCCTGGTGATTCTTGTTCGTAGCTTTGTTCACTCGATGGAGGTTCACACCAAATGTAGCCTGAATTACCATGAGCAAGCAAACGAAGTTCGTTATTAATTGTATTTTCCATCACGAAATTTGTCAAAATAATCTAGAATATATTTAAATACATGATTATATTTTAGAGAGCAAAAAAAAGAATCAAAGAAGTTAATAGTTTTAATGATTTATTTAAGAACAATATAGAAATGCAGAACTCAAAAATTTTGTTGGATTATCCGTCAATGATAGATATGACTAGAAAAGAACACGGTAAAAACGTAATGAAACTATTTCAAGGATATACTGATAATTAATTTGACTAAATCATGAAGACAAATAATCATGATTTTCTGGTCTTGTTGAAGAATTATCTAAGGTGAAATCATTGTCTAGTTAAAACGATAGGGAAATTAATCTATACTACTGATAAACTCTGAAGGATCAGATCGTCGTGAATCGACTGACATACTCTACTTGACAAGGAGAATGAAATAGAAATTGTTGACTTCTATTTTACTAGCTGTTATGAATGAACCTCAACTTTTCACTTACTATGAATTCATGACTAATCATTGAAACAAAATCTATTGTTGAGATAAGTTCCAATAATAATTGGTTTCGGCCTTGCTCAAGAGCCTCATCAGGTGGCTTTAGAGAATATGAATCAAACTATCATTATTTGAAATGAACAATGATAATTGAGAAACAAATTCTTTGTATATCACTCGCAACAAAAGTCATATACAGCAGAGCTACCACGACCCATCATGGTCACGTCGACACGATTTACAACATTTCACTAGACATTGAATACAATCATCTGTCTAGTTTCAAATGAAAGGTATTTCATAATCATTCACTATACAACAACTCTAGAAGGATTCAGTTAGGACAGCCTATCAGAATACCTTTTCAGCAAAAATAATTGATATTTGAAAAACATCGTTGTCCTGTATAGTGTCATATGTTCACTCTTTATCGATACAATCTATTCACATTGATATTCATCTAATATGTATATAGTTGGACGACTTTCCTATTGACCTTTTTGAAAGTCATGATCCCAACTATAACTCTGTCTACATTGTACAGACTATTTTGCATGTTTTATTCAGATAGGACCATTTAACACTACATTTTCATTTATATCAACGTTTCTAGAGAAGACTATTGATATTCTGGATAATGACTCGTGAATTTACCAATTATTGTTTTCAAAATGTGTCAACATGAAAAAAATTTGAAACATTTCCTTTACTAGGACTTGTTCTCAGAGTTCACTTTCTTAATGCAGACATATTCTAGATGGTTTACCCATAGTCATCATTGTAGTTACGTAGAAAATAATGGTATCGCCTTCTTTTGTCGTAGTCAATGTCATCCAATGAACAGAGATTCAATAGAGGAAAAACTTCTCATAAAATAGATAGATTATGGAAAAGATGCAAACATACATAATTCCAATCCGAAGATTGTATGTGTATGTTGGAGTAGTGGTCCGCTACTCAGCACCCTTAAATCATTTACTAGTGACGTTGTGCCATATACTTACATATATACTTACGTGCATATCACTAGTACTATACACAATCTATCAAGGTTGTGTGTTGCATAAAGCAACTAAGTTCTTCCTCGTCGAAAATCTCTCTTCATCGGACATTAACATTGAACATCAATTTTATTTTTCATATGCTACAAACAACAACATGATTCTGTGTGTGCCATTCAAATATCTCTTCAAATTAAGATGTAAAGATATTCTTCATCGAACCCATGCTTATTGCAAGACTTTTGATATATTTTCATTCCATGTTTTCTAGACGAAAACCAATTCCGTTGTTTTTTCCTAGGACAATTACCCTCTTGATGTCATTCATTGTATTGATTTTACTTTCATTATAACATCGATCTATATGTCTCATATATAACAAGAAATGACTCAATCTATTTGCTGATTCAATTCAATTTAGTCATCTATTTGTTTTCATATTATATATGAAGTTAGGCTAATCCATTTATTGACTAGATACATGTATATACACATATGTAGTCAGACCATTTTTCTTTCCTTCTCTATCGTTTACATGAACGGTCAAAGGTCATCGCATACAAAACCCGAGACATGTTTTTTTCACCCCTTTCGTTCTCTTTCCTTCTAACAGTCAGCCATATATGTACAAAGAAACATCTTTTCTTTCATATGACCAATAATGATAATTATGTATTATCATTAATTATGCATTGTCATTAATTAAGCCCCAACTATATTTTTTTCTTAAAACGTTCAACCCTTCGCTTTAATTAGACTATAAAAATAATTATACTCAAAATTATTTTTCATAATGTTACTTTCAGTGACAAATTATAATTGCATAGTATAATTAATTAAGCCCTTCAACATCATTTCACTGATGAATTCATATGAATTATCGAATACTACATCGAAATCATCCTGTTATACCAACCAAGCATAAAAACATTCATTTCATCACTTAGACAGTCAACACTACCGTCTTACATATAGCATCGATATACAAGACCATTGTTGGGTCAACCGAATCTGTACAAAAATTCTATAACGGACTGGCATACGTAGAGTTTGTTTCATATATAGAGAGAAATGAGTCAATCTATTTGCTGACTAAATATATAGACTAAGCTAAATCACTCTCTTTCTTTCCTGTTTATTATAGATATATACGAAATGTTCGAAGTCATAGACATCGACTAAGCTAAATCGTTCTCTTTCCCATTATATATATCTGAAATGTTCGAAGTCATAGACATCGACTAAGCTAAATCGTTCTCTTTCCTATTATATATATCTGAAATGTTCGAAGTCATAGACATCGACTAAGCCATTTCGTTCTCTTTCCCATTATATATATGTGAAATGTTCGAAGTCATAAGCATCGACTAAGCTAAATCGTTCTCTTTCCTATTATATATATCTGAAATGTTCGAAGTCATGGACATCGACTAAGCTAAATCGTTCTCTTTTCTTCATTTTCATATTATATATGAAGTCGAGTCAATCTATTTGCTGACTCGATTTATTTTAGTCTGCTATTAAATTGTCATTTCTTTATTTTCATATTATATATGAAGTTGAGTCAATCTATTTGCTGACTCGTTAAGATATAGCCAGTTACTATATTGACGTGTATATTACTAGATAAACCGATTTGTTTGTTCATAATGAATGAATTGGATTGCATTGAATAGTACTAGTACAGAATCCAACACATAAACAATGATAACTGATAGATTGACATACCAAAATCTAATATTTCCTCATTAGAATAGATAACTTGTGAGATAAATCTGATGTCAATAAAAACCGTCGATTATTTATTCAAATCACAACAAAATTTTAATCTTTTACATGATAACCTTACAGTAATGAATCAATACGTGAAAGAAATATTGATTCGATCTTCAAATGAGTCTATGAAGATGTTATATATTTAAAACCTTATTATCATTTTCAATATTTTACACGTATTGATTGTGAAGATTGTGAAGGCTAATGAAAATTTCAGAATAAAACTGAAATATTTGATATTTTTCGTTTTAACATTGTTACTTTAATGATACATTTAAGTGCTACTGAAGTTTACAGCAAAGTTATAAGGATAGACAATATTGATACGATGCTAGTCATTCTTGATTGTCATTTTTTTTTACATATATGTAAATTTCCTATAGATATATTTAGATTTAAAAACAGCAATGAATCAGATGGCACTAGAATCATTGTCCAACGATTTACTACGTCATTTATTCGAATTATTTGATCCAGCTAATATACTTCGTGCTTTTTCTGGACTCAACACTCGTTTTAATTCTCTACTTTATGCTGATATCCAATCTTATTGTGTTGATTTACGATTAATGCAGGTGAATGAATCCGATTGTTGGTGCTTGGAATATCAAAAGAAGATCTTAACATTTTCTGCTCAACATACCCTCCTTTGATATGAAATCGTGCAATTTATCTGCGCCTATCTAATGACAAAAGTACACCTTATCAATGCAATCATTCTTTATCAACTGTTTTTGCATTGAACCGGTTCCAAAATCTTCGTTCGTTGACATTGAATATGATTAATTCGGATCTGCACAATAATCAATATCTTCCTTCGATCATAATCATATTTATTATTTAGCGAATTTTAAATTCGTCGATTGTCGATTATTTCACATTCAAATACAAGATTTTCAACATATGATTGGTCATATTTGGAGTCTATCGAAACTGACTCATTTATATTGGGATTTCAGTTTTAAATGTGGATGTCATTTCTCTGTTACCACTCACCCATGAACATCGTTAAAATACTTAACACTGGATAGAACATTTATTACTCAAATCAATGAAGTTGAAAATAAATGCTGATAGTCATCTCTCATCAGTCACTTTATCACGATTATCATTAAAAAGCCTTGTTGTACAGTTTTTCTCTTGTAGTTGTTTTTCCTTCTTTCTATTTTTTTTGCTCATTAGTTTCTTTGTTTCTTTTATTTTAACTATTATTGTTTTTTTTTATTCTTCTCTAATTGTTTCAGTTTATATACCGTTTCTGTTTTTTTTGTTCTCTACTAAGATAGCAATAGTTTGTAATATAGATTAAATTCAAAAAAACATAATAAGAATTTTCATTCATTTTAAATCTTGAATTTATTTGGCAAAAGGATGAGATATAATTCAGAGATTCACAGACAGTACAGTATGAATCACATGAATAATGAAAACTACTAGATTGACTTGTAAAAATCTATTATTTTCTCATTAGAATAGATTACTGGTGAGATCAATCAAATGAGAATTGAAATCGTTGATTATTTACTCGAATCATAGCAAAATGTGTTTATCTATTATACGATAAGCTTATAGTATTGAATCAATAATAATACGGATAAAAATAATATTTCATTTAATTAGAATAAAAAAATGTAAATGAGTTTATAAGAGTTTATTCGAATATGAAAGAAGAATCAAAACAACACTTTGATAATAACTATCTCCATTCTAAATAGATATTATTCACTATATGTTTAATCGTTTAATCCAACAAAATATTTTTTTCTGAATGAATATTTGTTTGTAATGTTTCAATCATTTGATCTTCTGTAGTTGATGATTACATGTAGTGTTAATTGTTATCAAAATATGTCTAGGATATAATTTCATACGTATATTATTTATAAAATCTACTTTGAGATATATTATATTAGGATAAAGTTCAACAAGAAAATAAACTTCTTTAATATTAGTGATCGTTTCCAAACTGACTTTTGTTTATTGATTTTTATTAGATATAAAACTAAACAGTACAATAGAAAAAAAAAGTTTCATATGAAACCTAAGGGAACAAAAAAGAATTTCGTGTCAGTATCGTATTCCATCATAATACAGGTCGATTATTTAAGAGTGTATTCTCGCCATATTTTTACGGTTGTATATGTGCCATTTTCTTCTCTTTAGATAGACAAGTATTTGGATGATTATAATGATAAAGAAGACATTTTTAATGAATGCAGTTTTGATAAGGAATTTATAGTTTGGCTGAATCTCTTGATAAAAACTTCTTTTTAACTACCAAACGATAAATTTGTCCAATAGTTAAGATATCATCCATAGGTGATTTTAATAAAGGAAAATATTCCTCAAAATAAACATTTCTAAGAATAAGTTGCACAGAAGAATTGATCATGCTTTTTCTTGTATATATTCATACCATGGTTTTCTAAACAGACAAATGTATTTATTTTATAGCAAACAAGTTAACTGATGTATCTATACGAACGTATTGTGTATTTTAATAGATCTATCATGAATTTCAATTTCTATGATCATTTATAGTTCAATACAAAAAAGAGAAAAAGAATCGATTAGATTAATCAGAATTTTTCAGAATTTTATGTTCATAATATATCAGAAAAAAATTTCAATTCATATGAACGATGTTGAATTATTCGTTCTCATTGATTAACATGAAAATATGTTTTCTTTTTAAATAGACCATTGAAATCTAATTTCATATCAATCTATGGAAAAAAAACTATTAGCTTGAATAATGAAATTGATAATAAACTGTCAATATTTTGATTCACCATAATCGCTTATGTATAATAGTTTTAAACGACAAAGTTGAGGCGTATAAGATATATTTGATATCTTATTTAAATAAAAGCTTTTCAAAATGCCTATAATTCATAATACTTGAATAAACGAACGGTATAAAAAAAACTTAATGTTATTAAAAAGACATATTGAAAAATAAATTTTACATTTAATAATTGTAAAATTGCAATTATTAAGTAAGGTGTCCACGAAATTAGATAAACGTAAACAAGATATATAATAGCTTTCAAAAAATGATAATCCTTTCGAAAGCGTTTCCGATCAGTAGTTTAACGTACGCAATATCTGTTAATAGATGATTGTTCAAGATTACCTGTTTGTCGACTTATTCTTATTGAACCTATTTCTAAAGAACGCGCTCAAAATGATGGATTTAAACAATGTTTATAATAAACGTGTCGAATAATGCAATGTGTTCGACGGTTGACATAAAATAGAATTGAGAACGAAGGAAAATATATGAGAATATAAGAGAGAAGTATATAGAAACGATTTGAATTAGTTTGATCTTGTCAATTAATACCACAATGAAAATTTAGTCCTTGAGGTACATAAGAATTAAAATAATGAAAAAGATGAACTTTGATAGGATAATAAACGACCATATGCACATAAAGATAAATATCGATGTAATGATAAAGTTATAAATAGTAACATACATAAACAACGAGATAAGTAGCAGATAAAGTCTTCAATGCGACAATAAATGTTTGAACAATGACGATGACATGTAAATAATCGTACAAGAATACCTGGTACACCTAAAATTAGAACCATGAATGATGCTGAGACCAATGAAATGACAATACTATTTTGGCATCGATGAGAAAATTTAAAAAAAACGTATATTAAATGTAAAGCAAGCGATTGATATAAGTAAAATAATGATGTTAGTTAAACGACATAAGATACAGGATAGATTCCATGAAATATTATGCATTGAATGAAGACATGACCATAATGATAAAGTTGTTTCAGTTGAGATCATTATTATAAAATAATCTTATCGGAAAAGTAAAAGCTATTTCGACAATTTATACTATAATAAGACGTTTTCTTCTTTTTTTCTTTTCCTTGTTGTCCTTTGATTTATTCTTTCAAACAGTAAACAGACATGAAATATGCACTAGAGGGAAACAGCAGACTTTTGGACTTCAAGTTACTTTCAGCTACTTTAAGCTACTTTAAGCTACTTCAAGCTACTTCAAGTAGTTTTGCTTTGAAGTACTCGAGATTACTTCAACCTACTTCAGCTACTTGGTCCTACGTTGAACTACTTCAAGCAGTCTACTTTGATGTACTTTGACGTACTTTTCTACTTCAAGTCTGCCATTTCCCCCTTGAATATGCATCTCAATAATTTATATATATATATATATTATTATGGTATAGGCTAGATTGAGAGCATCACACGACGTTTCGTCCTTGCTTAAGGGACTCATCAGGCATGTTTACAATCTATTATTACATAGAAAATTCAAAACTCTCCAAAACAATGAAGAAGTTATGAACCATTCGTAATAAGTTCAAAATAATAAAGTATATATATTATTATGGTATAGGCTAGATTGAGAGCATCACACGACGTTTCGTCCTTGCTTAAGGGACTCATCAGGCATGTTTACAATCTATTATTACATAGAAAATTCAAAACTCTCCAAAACAATGAAGAAGTTATGAACCATTCGTAATAAGTTCAAAATAATAAAGTATATATATTATTATGGTATAGGCTAGATTGAGAGCATCACACGACGTTTCGTCCTTGCTTAAGGGACTCATCAGGCATGTTTACAATCTATTATTACATAGAAAATTCAAAACTCTCCAAAACAATGAAGAAGTTATGAACCATTCGTAATAAGTTCAAAATAATAAAGTATANTCTCCAAAACAATGAAGAAGTTATGAACCATTCGTAATAAGTTCAAAATAATAAAGTATATATATTATTATGGTATAGGCTAGATTGAGAGCATCACACGACGTTTCTGCGGTTTATGTTTTCACAGATTAGATATCCTAAATATAGAAAAGATTGGATTATAATTTCTATAGTTTTACTTTGAAAATGTTGCATTATTTTTCTGTCTATATATTGTGATCATTGGATAGAAGTTTATGTTGTTGCTATTGTTGCTTATACGTTTTCTGAAATCGATTAAAAATGGTTTTACAGAATAGTTCAGGGAAGCCGTGCTAATGTATCTTTGGTTTACTCTCCTCTTAAACGCTTTATTGGAAAAAGAATAACATTGTTTTCTTAGGTTACAATGAAAAATGAAGAAGAAAATGTTTGACATAGAATGGCTACTATTTGATCATTTCTGAATTGTTAGGATCGTTTTTGATGGCTTCTTTTGAATGAAGAAGTGTTGTAGTGTTTTATTTATTGTTGGTATCAGGCGAATCCGAATTCGATTTGCTGGTGATCCTGGATAAACATAATTTTTTTTCCACCATTGAAGAAAGTGCTGTGGAAATTTCGATGTGGTTCCAGTTTCAAATTTGTATGGTATATACATTACTTTCGAATCCCATGGTTTTATTTCTAATATCGGTGGAAGTAAGGCTACCTTTTTTTCGTTGTTTTTGTTTTGAGTTTCACATAGGGTGGGCTGATATAGTAATTTTTGGTGTAATATTTGATAAGATTGTTCATCGGATCGTTTGATTAGTACGTCGGCTCGATTCACTTGAAAAAATCGGAGAAATTGATTTGTTATAAATTTTGGTGGATAATTGTTTAATAGTAATGTTACTTCAATGCGTAATCGTTCCGAATGAAAAGCATGAAGGTTTGAGCAGAGACGTGCAGCACGTTGTAGTGCATTGTATGGTATATTACGATGAATTCGATTTGGATGATCTGATGTATAAGGTAAATAGTATGGATCAGCAGTTGGTTTATGATAGATGGACGTTTTTAAGATTCCATTGTGATTGGTAATAGTCATGTCAAGAAATTCAATAGATTGACTAATTTTAAATTTAATTTTTATGTTCACATCTTTTTGTGCTGCATTGTCAAGTTCTTTGGTTATTTCGTCTAGTGGTTCGTTGGTTGTCATGAAAATGTCATCGATGTACCTAAAAAAAAGGAAATATATAACTATTTTAATAGATGAAGTTTTGAACAAACCTTCCATAGATTTCATGTTTATCTGCTTGATGTCGAATTAAATCTTGTTCCCATTCCAACATATAAATATTGGCATAGACTTGTGTAAACGCTGAACCCATAGCACCGCCACGTTTTTGTTGATAATATTTATTTTTGTAAGCAAAATAATTTGTATCCAAAACGAGGCGAGCCATTTTTAATATCATGTCTATATTAAATGGTCCAATTCTGTTGTTTTTAGAATATTTCTCTAAAAATCGAACTAGTACATCGATGCCGCCTCCGCGTGGAATCACAGTATAAAGATTTTCAACGTCAGTTGCAATAAACTTTGTCGTTGACTTTAGGAAACCCGCTTCAGTATATGTTTCCAATGTTCGAGCAACACCAATACTATTACTAAATGTAGTTTCTTGAGCCACTTCTAAATAGATTGGTGCAAGAAGATCATTCAATAATTTTGAGACAAATGTCGCTGGTGCATGAATGCCAGCAACGATGGGTCGTATTGGTATTTGAGGCTAAAGAAGAAAAAAAATCAGATTATTTAGTAAAACAAGAAAAAATCAATAGAATGAGAAAAGTATTACCTTATGTACTTTAGGTATTGAATATAAATGAGCTAATTCAAGATTGTTTACATTAGGGATAAGTTTATCACGTTGACGCTTTGTTATTGCTTTTTTCTTCACAAGATAATCAAGTACAGATTCGGTAGAACGTAAAACGTCGAGCAGTGGAGAATGATCAACTATCATTTCTTGATAGGCTTCAGTTTTATTCATGTATTCTTCTGTTTTAGAATCCATGACAAGCGTTTTACCAAAATAAAAGCCTTCGCCTTTGTCTATACGACGTACAATAATATCAGGCCGACTATGTAGCAACCTTTGAAGACGCTTCATTCTTCGATGTTCCCGACGAGCACGCCGGTACAATTTTGGTGGTAATGGTTTTGAATATAAATCTTTCATAGTTTGTTGTAATTCTTGAAAGGCTTTCTTTGCTCGTTCATCCGTTTTTGACATTTGATTACTATCAATGGTTGCTTTAGCAATATTCGATATTCTCTCATATTCCTTTTGTGCAATTTCACTTCTTTTTTTATGAGAGAAGTAACTTTGACATGGAATAACATATTTACGACCATTGATTAAGATGGATATCGGTTGTACACCTAATTTTATGTTTGCTTCAATAAATGGTAATGTACTGCTTATTTTTGTATAAATAAATAGATTGCTCCGACGATGATGTGGTTTAATTAGTTGTTGTCCATCGTCGGAGCTTGGTCGAAAAAAGTCTTCAATTTATGTTGACGCATCCGAATAAATCGTTGTATCATGGCTTGTCGACGTTCTTCAATGATATTGATCAAGGCAAACGTATAAATATGTGAATTTTCTTCATTAAGTTTTGATAATTTTTCATTTAAATTAGCCAATGTTAGATCATAACGATGCATGACAATTGAAAGTTCGTCCAATTCTACGACCATTAAATTAAATTTACATTGTATGATTGTTTTCGAACAACGCGATGCAAAACTTGAACGTTGATCTTGATCAAGAAAAGGATTGGAAAGTGTTTTTTGAGTATCATCAAGTAATTGATTTACCATTAGATCTGTTTTTGCTGGTAACCGTTTTAAATAAATACGTTGTCGAAGTATTTCTTGTTGTTCTTTTGTTTTGAATTCATCTGCTGTTACTTGCCAAATGTGTTGAGCTAATTGGATTAGTTTGTTGTCAGGTTTTAATTCATAGAATTTCACAAGTAATTGATGATCATTCCAATCTAATGTTAACATTTGTTTTTTGTATTCAAATACATTTTTTAATCGATGTTGACTATGTTGAACACATTCATTGACTACATGTGATAATAAAGTTCCGTCAACGAATGGTTGCCATTGTTGTGTAAATTTGCTTAATTTTGTTAAATATTCTTGTAATTGAGATGCTATTTTTCTTTTTTTCTTTTTGATCGTTGATAGATAATGTACAATAACAGACTTTCGTGGTTTATACATACGGTATGCGTTATGTTTTGTAGCATATGTTTTTGTTATTTTCATTTCCCAATTTTGATCTTTCATACTTAAATTTGAATATTCTTGCCAAAGTTTTTCATTATAATCCTCATAATAAAAATCATTGGTAATTGCCATTAATTCGCGAACAAAATGAATTTTTTCCGGTGTATTTAAACATTGAACTAATTTGTAACCATGTTCAGTGGCATCGGATAACATTCGTTTAAATATTTGATCAGATACTTTTAAGTAATGTGGTTTAAATGCGTCGAAACAATTCATCGATAACTCATTAGTACTATCGTTGTCTTGTGACATTGATAATTGACTAAATGGTCTATCCAGTATTGTTGTTACGGTTGTTGTCGTTATTTTAGTTTTCTTAGAATTTGCTTGTGATATCGACAATTGATTTAATGGTTTATCAAGAATGGACATTGTTTCTGTTGTTGGTGTTGGTGTTAATAGAAATCGTTTCCGTTTGATGCCCAATTCTGTACTATCATTATTATCATTCATAGAATTGTCTATCTGTATATTTATTTTAATCTAAACAAAATGAAAGACAATTATTAACTCTAATATATGAACAAAAACAAAAACAAAAATATATACTTGATTTAGTTGCATAGAGACTGTACTATTTTGCACATCATCTTCTCGTATTTCTTGAAGTCGAGTATGAAATTTTTCTTTCTCAAATGTTGTTACCATTTCGGAGTCGTATCCTTGTTGGTAAAGCTGTCGTCGAAAACGTTGTTTTTTTCGATCACCACGACATTTCTTTTTTCGTTTGTTTGTATTCACTTCGAGTGATGATTTTTTTTCAGTTGTTTGCCGGTCATTATCTGTAAATAATTGTTGATGTTCTACGCGATGATGACCATTACTCATGATCACTATTGATATCTGAATAAAAGAAATAGAAATGAAGTTAATATAAAGTAAATTCTGATATATAATTAAATATAAAATGAATATTTGAATTTATTTGAACGTAAAAGTAAAACAAAACAAAAATGGAACGAAGAAAATGAAGACAATCATGATTTATAATAAAACTACATTAAGAACTATGAAGCGAACATATAAAAATCTAATTTAATTAAACAAAATTCAAGGCTACAAAGAAAATATGAATGAATAGAATCTTGATGGTGCAAAGATGTGTTTCTATTTGAATTTCAAATCATCTACGACACGTTTTGACTATTGCTTAGATAGTCACCATAAGATATCTTCATAATCTAAAGCTGTATCATTTCGGACTTAAATAAATCTATTGTAACTCCTATGTATTCAAATCTACAATGTTTATTTCAATAAAGGAATTTTTAAAATAGAATCGAAGAAGGTACAACTATTTTTTTGGATATATCGTCCATATCGTTGTTAATTAAGAAGAGTGTGTTATAGACTCAAAAATAGATAAATTCACAACAGTATATGCAGTTGTGGATGATGAGACCCGTAATTTGCGATGGCTAAAATGTTTTTTAGTTTAGCTCTTTTGGGGCTAATATCACGAAACTAATATATATCTGTTGGACTAACTAAGTTAATGTCTATAATCAGTTACAGGGATAAGACAGAACCTCAAAATTGACTTTAATCATTAGAAAGAAAAATAAGAAACTCAAGAATGCTTTGTTTTCTTTGACCGAGAGGCACGATTCTTGGACAAACCTATTAATGAGATAAGTTCCAATATATATCTATCGGTTTCGGCCTTGCTCAAGAGCCTCATCAGGTGGCTTTAGACAATATTCACTTACAAAAAAAAAGAAAGTAATATACCAGAGCAGCCACGACCGATCTCGTGATCAAAACAAATGACATTTCAAAATCGACCACCATACAACAACTTTAGGATTCAGTTAGGACAGCCTATCTAAAACCTTTCAGCAAAAAGAAGTGATGTTTCGAAGAAAACCATCGTTGTAATGTATGGTATTATTGCCCCTTGCATTCAGACTTCTTCTATATCCTAGGACAATGTCCTCAGACTTCATCTTTTTATTAGGAAATATTCGAAATCAAGTTCGTACACACAA